ACCCTGCGGGAGTGCCCAGTTGGCCAAGACACTGACCATTTACGACAGGGCGGATCCAGCTGCCGCGAGGGTGATTATTGTGGCAGGGTCGGACTTCGAGGGAACGTCCCCCAAGTTATTCTGGCCGGAAACCCTGGTATATTCGCTGCCGGGTGCTGAATTGAACCAAATGCTGACCTTGGTGGTTGCAATAAAATCAGAGATGCCTTGTGAGCCAGAGTTGTTGCAGTTTGAGGGATGAATGATCACCTGTATGCGACAGGACTTCTTGAGCAGCTCAAAGGTGATGAGCCGGCGCCAAAGAAAATCTGGGAGGTTATCCAGACCTTATATGAACGAGGTACAAGAGAATGTCAGTTCCCGATTTGGGTCCAAGACGAGAGTGGTCTTCGCGACATCCCCCGGATACGCGAGCATGCCTCCCGCTCTGCAAATCGTGTACGCGGTTCTGATCTTAATAGCCGAGGGGAATGAGTGGCGGATCCTGATGGCAGCTCCCAATCGTGAACAGGAACCGACGAACCTGAGGCTTCGCAAGTCGGAACTGGCGGCGGCATGGGCGGACGTGTCCCACGCGTTGAGGGGTTTTTATGAATTAGCAGATATCCTCATTGTGTTGGACGAGGTCCTCTTGCTAGAAATATCGAACTTCGCCAGACAGCTCAAGTTCAGTCCGGTCATCGGAGACGACCATCCGGTAATAAGTCACTTGACGGCCAGCTTGTGGTTTCAAAGCATGGATTTGACGATCATGAGTTCCACCAGTAGGTCCAGAGGGCCGAGCAATGAAAGAAAGAACGTGGCTGCAACGGAGAAGCAACTGGAGTCGATGGTGTATCGACTGGCGCAAAAGAGAGGCTGGTGGCCGTTCCTGACACCAAGGCTGGAGAACGCTACGGATAAGACAAAGGAGAATGCCCCACCTCTCGTGAAGCAAATCTGAAGTTTTCTTGAGAAGCAGTTGGAAGTGGCCGAGGATAGGGAAATGACAGTGACCAGGTTCGTCACAGCTGCAAACGAGGTCACAATCGGAGGATTCTGGAGGGAGCACGCAAAGGGTGAGCTGAGGACGAGAAGCGATCACGAGATTCTCAAGTTCATGAGTCCTTGTTGGGGAAAAGAGTTCATGGCTGGAGTGTTTTGTGCACAGGAGACCATTTTTAGGGCCTTTGTACAAGATATACTGAGCATGCCCCTCAGCCTGCTGTTGGCACTATACATGGTTTACCCGAGGTACTTATTTAACATGGGTCCAGCCTTTATGTTCAGTCGGGGCGTGGAAACACTCCGGATTGACGGATATCTAGCACTGGTACTCCTGACCCATGGTGAACTAGTGTCATTTCATCGATTAATGAAATATGGGGAGACACTGTCGATGGTGAAAACCCACTCGAGCATCGACACTTATTCATGTAAGAGTGCAGCAAGGCTGAAGACGCTGCTAGTAGAGCACCTCTTGATGCAGAATCGATACATGACTGGTGAAGAGAAAAATCCGAGGAACAGTGCCGAGAGAGCTGAGAGATGATTTGAGTGAAATCTGGGGGGAAGAGCTTTTGAGCTTGGAAAATGAGAACACAAGTAACCACGAGAAACAAAACGTGATCGTAAAACCGGTGGGTGGTGCTCCAAACATGGAGGAGAACGATACGATACCTGAGAAGGTGATGGAGCTCGAGCCTCTCCTGGCAGCCTCGGGAGAGCGCAACCTTAGGAGCAATGAAATCACACATGGGGAATGCCCACGCCACTGTCTGGCACGAACGGTATGGTATCCGGATCACGCAAACCTCTGCCTGGTATGGGATGTGGAAGAAGTTTGGTCGATAGGACAACCGGATGACAGGCAAAAGGTGACGCTCTTGGTGATGAGCACGATGCTGGCTCTAAGATGGATTGAAGCAAATGTAACGAAATATCGGGAAACGAAGACGCGGAGTCGATATACGCAATAGATTACAGCAGGAGACTCGAGTTGTTTGAAACGGCATGCAAGGTATTCGCCATACCAATGGAGGTCAGACACGTATGGAGCCGCTTGAGGTTCTTTCCTTGGTTTCGAGCGACGTTGACGTCTTGGTTATACATAGTAACGAAAGATCATATGAGGAAATATCAAAAGGAGTATCGACAGTTCCAGGCCGAGATAGGACCGGAGGCCTTCAAGAGACCTCTGCTAACCCATCGAAATGCGATCACGACGGGGTGGAAAAGAGTTGGTAGAGTGTCCAGAAATATCACCAAGGCGAGAGAGTCGATACTAGAGGAAGACTTGGCGAAGAACGTGAGCCTGAGTCTTCACGATTCCTTTTGTTTGAACCGAGAGTCGAGGGTGAAGAGTTTGTCCAATCAAGCGAAGAGATTGCAGGAGCAAAGGGAATGGATGCGATCCTACGAACAGCTGAAGGCTTGGGAGGAGATTGTGATCAGCTCCGTTGACGAAGAAGCACTATTGGAACAGATCACAGTGTCAAAAGTATCTGGATCGGGTACCTCGAGGGCGAAGAACACAAGGTGAGCCAGTGGCTCAAAAGGAAAATTCTAGAGTCTTGAGTCTTGAGAGGGAGGGGGCTCGAGGGTGAACTCGGATGAAATCTGGGTTCACGAAAAAGAAATTTTAACAAATAAGATATTGTTATTAAGATGCTAGACCTATTATATAAATCAAAATGCTGCATGACAATTTCATGATTGAATGGGACAAAAGAAGTTTTAAATCATTAGCTTAAAAAGAGAGAATTCAAAGGTGCAGGTTTATGCAGATTTTGATTGCTGTTTAGCAATAGTATGAAAATTTTACATGGTAGTGAATTTTGGGGTGTAGATAAACTTAAGTCTGCTGCAAACTTCTGTAAATGACCACTGGCACTGTAACTTGAGCAACACTCGGTTTTCTGGGATTCAAAACAGACGACAGCCCGCGATGAGGACATCGATCTTGCGTCCGGGGAGTTTGTGCCAGTCGGTCATATTTGGAAGTTTGACCTTGAGGACCACGAGATACGTGGTTTTGGAGTGGAATTTAATTTTTAAAAAAAATTGAATGGAGCCTGTTATGCTCAGTTTTCTCGCGACAACTGAAAACATTATAAAATAAAATCAGAACGACCGAATTTACAATTGCGGGAAAGTACTTAAGAAAGCAGCGGGAAATTGCTATTCACAATTTCCTGATACAAAATAGAACGCTTGTAGAGCCGTCTTTTCCTGAAATAGAAGAAGAGACAATTGCGAGAGAAGAGTACAATTATTCGAGCTGAACCAGAGTGAACCTTCAGTGGAAAGGTGGACAGCTGGGGTGTCCCAATGGTTCAGACTAAAACTTCAATTCTAGAGTCAAAACTTGTTTCCCTTATTAAAACTGATTATCTTTGAACTCCTCAAGTTATCATAGTTATTTCTCGAGTTGCTCATCAATTTAATTACCCCTAATTCTCGAGTGTGCCGACATGTGAGTTCTCAATTTAGTTTTCTTGAGTGTGTTTTATGATTTTTATGTTGAGATAAGGCGAGTTTTAGGTTGATCCATCTGAAATGGATCAAAGTTTCACTGTCTAACGAAAAGGAACTTAATTGATTGTTCCGACCCGGTTTTTAACGGCTTTCGTGTATTTTGGGTATTTTGAGACCTAAATATGGGGACGTTCTTATTTCTAGAGTGGGGGGATGTTTTGGTAGTGTCCTTTAAGCTGTAACGGGTTGTAGTCTCATGTCGCAAGTGAACCGAATTGGCTCCGACCGTTTTTGAGGTAGAAAAACACAAGAGATAGTGTCCCTGACTCTTGAGCCAATGGTTATAGGGCTTATTTTTCTTAAGCCTCATATGTGACCTATGAGACGTCAACCAAGAAAGGAGAAAAAGGTAAAAAACATTTTCGATCTGGAAAAAGTTAAAAATACGGGTAATTAAGTCAAAAAGATAAGAAAGGAACAAAGAAAACGTAACAAAAACAAAAAAACTCGTTTTAAACTACCAGACGAAACCAATGAACGCAACCAAGAAATAAATGACAAAATCATGAAATAGTTGAGCAAAGAAAAGACCTATTTTTACCAAGAGAGGATGAATACTGCGGATTATTACTAATGGACTCAATCGTGAACAGAATCAATGGAGAAAAAATAACAGAAATTATATTAGCGAGAGGTTTTGGGGGCCACAAAATTTCTTGACTGATGGAACGTATGAAAAACAGTAAGCCTCGCAATTTTAAACACGTAACTACATTGATTGGAATAAATAACTGTCTTTCAAACACATTCAATGCAAAAACTCTGTGAAAAGCTTAGAGAAATTAATTTATTTTTTAAATCGTAAGTTTACTCCCCCCCAAACAATCTCAACCTGTACCTTTACACTTTGAGGTAACCGCCTACAATTTGAGACAATCAGTTATATCATATTAGCTTCCTATTAAAATTTTGTGGAACCAGCTTATATTGAAAACTGGCGGAATCTAGAAAAACTAGCTATAATCGTTCTGCAGAATCTGCGAAAAAAACTGAAGTTCAAATTTTACGTTACAGGTATCGTTTTGTAAGTGGAGTCCACGTACATTTTGAAACCTGTTCAAAGACTTGTCTCTGAATTACAGTGCCCTATAAACACCGAGTTGTGCCCTATTCAGTGCACAGTTTTGCCTCGAAATGATCCGAAGAAAAAAATCCATATCAATTTTTTTGAGAGTAGAAAACACTACTTTTGGAGACTGTTGTTCCGAGTTTCGAAGATAAGTACAAATTATTTTCTTGCGATAAATTTTTTTCACCTGACGATTTTTAGGTCACCAAATAAAGTTTTTCCTTGGAAACTACGGTTTTTGAGTTCAAATTTCATGGTTAGAAGATACAATTTTTTCAGGTGTCTCAATTAGTCCTTAATAGGGGTGGAAATAACTTAGTATGAACCATAGCGGTAGGAGCTGACCTTGTTTACAGGATCTTCTCAGAACGAAATTTGGCGTTAGCTTATTTTTATGTAAAGCAGTAATTCTTACCCGTACAGACATGTGCTTCATTGTAGTAAATTTTTCCAGTGTCGTCTTCTAAGATTACTCCAATTGAGTAGGATTCTCCTGCGATCAAGCCATGCAGAACAATAGAATTGTTAAATTTCACCTCTATGCTTACATTGGTACAACTCGCTCCGATCGCCGTATAGCAGTCAACATGTTTCAGAGAAAGGCTGTCGTTTAATTCAGTGAGAATGATTTCAGCTGACGTAGAGTTGCTCCAGATGTCTTGGTCCATTACTACCTCGCCTGTTTTGAAAAGAAAAGTATAAAAATTACTGCTCGTAGCATGGCATATCACTGAGCTTTCCCCCTGCCGGTCAGTTCCTGCTTCACAAAAAACGACAAAAATTGCAAAATCTTTACATAAAAGTATTAATAATTTGTTTCCAATCTAATCTAATGATAATTTATTTAAAACAAAAATAAGCAAAAAAAAATTGACTGAAATGGATTGAGAGGGCGCCATTAGATCTTATGGTCTGTCTTCAAACGCCTCAGGCAGAAAAAAGTAAATCTTGCATTATCCGCACGTAGTAAGATATGAAGCTGCTCGAAACTTAAACTTTTGATCGAGTTAAAGAATTCGAAAGAAAAATATTCTTAAAAAAGTTACAATTGAACTTTATTATCCAAGTTGAAACTTTCTTAAAAATTGTGGTGTAAAGCATGATTTGATTTTTTGCTGTTGTTTTGAAGAAATGTGGCAAAGTTGGAAAAACTGATAGAACTAGGTGAAACAATGGCTTAATTGTTATTTAAAAAGGTGTCTCTTATGATTTTGCTGTTTGTTCAAGGTTTAGGAATTTTTTTTTTTTGTTTGCGGTGCGCTTAAACTGCAGAGGAATTATCTCAGTACCACATTTGGTTGACTTTAGAATTGATAAACCACACTGTTTTGTAATGCATTTTTTTAATAGTTTCAGAAATTTGACTGAGCAATTCGGTTGATCAGAAAACTGCAAAGTTTTCTCGTAGTTTGCTTATTAACTTTGACCTTTAATAACCAAAACCTATTCTGATTATTCTTATAATTTTAGCTTCAAGTGGTTTGATTGATGTTATGTCTGTAATGGCGTAATCAAGTATCCCGTATTGTGAAACCAGTTAAACGCAAGTTTTTTAAGCTTCGAAAAATTGCGCCAGCTTCAGCTACTTGCACATTTGATAGAGGACTCTGCAAAACTGGAGCAGTTTGTTTGTTGTTTTTTCTATACGAGGGAAAATCTATATAAACTCCCTAGTACCCGTAAGATTGATATTTTTTGATTTCCTCGATATTAAATGAAATACGGTCGTCGATGTTTTACAGATGATGGTTTTTCCAATCTTGATACTTTTAGTTTCGCGGCCATCTAGTGTTGGTTTGTGTTTGCTCAGCCATTTGTTGGTTTCCTTCATGTCTGCTTGATGTACTATTGTTACCATTGGGCATTTTAACTTTAAGGATTGCATCGTGCGAATGAAGAAGTAAGCTATGTTTGCTTGTGTTTTTTGTCGACAGTTAACTCATTCACAAAAAATTGGAAAAGAAATAGACCAAGAAATGAGCTCTGCGGTACTGCACTTTCAACATTAATAAGCACAGGTTTGTAATATTCCTTTTATGAATACTGCGCACGATCCGATAAACGCTGTGTTCGTATATCTTGTTTACATGTCCTCGGAGTTTTTGGAGCAAAATGGAATGATTAACCGTATTAAATTTTTTTTTTCAAACTTACCAATGTGCCCTGTGTTACTGTAAAAGCAAGAGTTTTTGTTTCAAACTATTTCTTTCGTGACTAATGCTGTGCCTCGTTTATCCCGAAATCCATTTTTTAATATGACAGCAGAACAAACTTTTGAAAGAATTGGTTATTAGTTTGTATTTTAAAAATTGTCCCAATTATTGGCTAAGAGGAAATTGTCTGAGTTCTTCCGGCTCCTTTTCCGCCTTTTTCTGAATTGGTACAAATATTGGAATTTTTAAGCACTTTGGAAAACAGTTTTTTCTTAACAATTATTAAAAATTGTTTCAAATGGATCAGCTAGTAATTCTTTTACGCGTTTTGCGAAAAAATAATAGATGTTATAGCAGTCTGAGTTATATCTATTTTTTGGAACGGCCTTTTTTTATCTCTTGAATTTTCTTAAAAAACATTGCTTTAGATTCCTCTGTAATGGTGGTTGGCATTGAATTGCTTTTCCTTTTGGATTTGGTATTTCTTTTAGGCTCGCTTAAAACGCTCAAGAGCTCGCGGCTAAGGTTTGTTGAGTTTTTATTCAATCTGTATTGATAGTAACATCATTTTTGTCTGTGACTACTCTTTTGACAAAGTTCGATTGATTCTTTTATGCTACCTGATCCGCGTTAAGTTTGAAGTACAAAAAAATTACCTAATTTATTTTTTTTGCGGCCGCATTTTAACTCCATTATCTATCTATATTGTTTCGTATTGATTTTTGTTTTTTTTTTCGAGAAAAAAAATTGTTAATCGCTTGTGTTAGTATGTTGTTGATATTTATCAAATATGTATCAGTATCATGGTTCTTACTTTGGAAATAATTCGACTTCGTATCTATGTCCTGTAGTGCAAAAGTTATCAGTTTCTCGGTTGTATCTCATTCGTTTAGTTTATGCCAAGGCCGGCTGTTTTGTTTGGTAAATTAAATTGTTTGAGATGTTTTTCTAGCGAAAACAATTCAACAGTGGTCAGATAAATCAGTTTTAGGTGTTTTTGTCGAACTATTCATGGATGTGAAACAAAATCTAACAGAGAGTTGCTAGATACTTGAATTACTTGAATTACTTTTTATCTCAAAAGCTATCAACAATGATTTATGCAAATGAGATAATTCTTTCCGATTGTAGCATTTCATTCTACTACCGGCGGAACAACAAACTTTTCTTTCTGGCTACCTATCCATAGCAACAGGGGAGAGTCAAACAATTGAAAAAAGTGGAAAAAAATTATCGAAACATTTCAAACAAAAAAGTTTAGTAGAAGAAATTTCGGATCTAAAAAAAATTACCGTCTCTTTTTTTCGTGCCTGTACTATTTTTAGAGCAGATTAGGAAGAATTCTTTTTTGAGGATGATTTCCAACAATTCAAATAGTCTACAACGAAATATTCTTGTACCTCAATTGTTTCCTCGCGCAAACATGCTGTCAGATAATATATTTTAAAAATAGTTAGAGCGAAAAAAAGAATAATTTTGTTACTTCTAAACTTTGAATGCAGAGATAACTATCTGCAGTACAAAGTCTCGAACTTGGTGCCTGGATTGACACATGTGGTCTCTGTCTTCACTGTGAGTGACCCTGATGGCCAAGTTAGATCTGAAGCAGTCACAAGAGTGCAAGATGCAGGTATCAGTAGTGGCTCATCAACAGAAATTTTGTCCTTTTTGGGGAGAGGAGTTTTTGATTTAACTTTTGAAGAAAGTGAGGAATATATATGCTTGGGGTGGTTTTTTTATTCAGACCGATTTTACAAAAAAAAATGACAGCGAATGGTTTCCGATCCGGAAATCTTTGGATTGCCAAGCAAGGCTTAAATGTTAAATAAGAATTGCGTCGCTGCTCGAATACAAGTTTCATAGTTTCAATTTGCGACTTGTTTATGCGTGGCAAAATGTCCGTTTTCATAATCGTTCCAAATTGAATTAGGCCAACTCGCATCCAGTTTCAAGAGTTAATAATTGATTATATTCTTATTATATTACCAGTCTTACTAAAAATGAGAAACAATCAGTTTAACCAATTAATAATCGATTATAATCCCGCTTTTCAAAATTAAAATAAAACTAAGTATCATCCATTACAATCGATTGTCACTGATTTTGTTTCATGATTGATTCGGAAGATATTTTTTTCATCTACCGCGGGAATCTTTCCACTAAAATGAAATAATCTCAATGAAAATTTTGTTTCAGATGAACCAAAGTGTTCAACAGATCTCTTTTTTCGAGATTTTTTTATTGATCCAAAAATAATAACCCATAAGATATAATTCGAATATATAGTTTTGATCTGACAAAATTGTGGCAAAATAAGAGATTATAATCGATTAAAATCGATTATAATTGGTTCTAAGGGTTATTTGTAAGAACTATAATCAAATATATTCGATTATAAGAGATTATAATCTCTTGGAAAAAATCACGATTAAAACAATTATAAATCCTTTAAACATCTAATTTTGGTAAATATAATAAATTATAATTGTCAAAGATCATCAGAAAAATCCGTTATAATCGATTATTTACGCTTAAACTTGGATGCGGGTAATTCAACACAATTTTTGATTTTAAACAAACTTGCAGTGAAAGATATCAATTAAAAATCACATTTTATCTACAAACAGTGATATTGGATCAGTTGCGTTTGTAACAAGTTTCGAGCCACTTAGCTTGTCGCGTATACGGTATTGCATCAATGGAAAAAATAAATTTTCGCAGGCTTTAAATGTCCCAAATACCTTCCGCGTCTTAATTTTTTGTACCATCTTAATACATGGTAAACAGTTGTTAAAAGACAAAAGTTGGCCTTTTTTTGTACCCTAAAGGTTTTGTTGAAAAAAGTCACGAATTGTGCTCAAATGGTTCTGTTTACGATTGATATAGCAGGTACCTGTCCTAACATGATTGAAAGTCAGTGTTTGACATGCACTTACGCGAGATTATCGAGTTAGCGAAAGAAAAACATGCAAATGGTTTTTCATATCGCCGAATCAGCCGAAAACTGAATTTACCAAGATCAACAGTGCAGTATATGATCAAGAATGACTACTCAAGAGTGAAAGCAAAGCGGGAACCCAAGCATGTGGTCGTTGGTTTCAAAAAACGATGTATAAAACGTTGCATTGCAAAAACGCAAAGACAGGGTGACAGCCTCAAAATACCTGAGGCAGACAGCCCTCAAAGTCAGCAGAAGAACAGTTCATCGGGCTTTATCAAGAATGAGGTGTAGGTACAAAAATGCAAAGCTTATGAATATTTTGACCAAAAAAAAGCAGAAAGAAAACCGAGTACGCCTCTGCACTGCAGTTGCCAAAGGGCTGCCCATTAGTGTATCTGAACTAACTTTTGGTCAAAACTGGTGAAGTTAAAATTATAATTATTTGACATATCTTCTCCCGTTTGGCGCTGCTACAAAAATTATCACACCGACATATTTTTTTTTAATTTACAAAAAAATGAATGAAGTGGAAAATTTTGCCAAATAAACACGTTTAAAAAAGTGTCAATCAAATAATTGATAAAAAATCAATAAATTTATTCGCCAAATAAATACGAAAAAAGTGTCAATCAAAAAGATTCTAAGCTCTCTGTTAAAGTTCTAAAATTATCAAAAAAGTTTTTATTATTTTTTGTTTACCTGGCATGACAATTGTGAAGTTTGTCGATGGTCCGCTCATGTTTCCACATTGAGCTGCTATGGAAAGTTGGTACACACACTCCATCGCCACATTGACAATGTTTTGTCTCACACTCAAATCGGTGAAGCTCCCCGCTGTCTCGGTACATTTTTCATCGACACTTGAGAGTGAGTAGTGCATGGAGGAAAAAGAACCATCGACTACACCGCTTATTCCATGGAAAAATATTGTTCTTCCTTCGTATCCAACTTGAGCTGTCGAGCTGTTGATGTAATCTGGGACTGAAGTTAAAATCAAACTCAACAACTAATCAAAAAAGACTTTCTAAAACAACTTGCTTCAGCTGGAAAAACATTTAAAATTCAGAAAATATAGCCAAACAGATAAACTTTGATTTTAGAAAGAATTTTCAAACCGAACACCGTTTTAATTTTAGAGAGTGAATTTTTCTTCAATTGAGTTTTTTTGGTATTAGGAAAAGTTTAACTAAATACTAGGACTCTTGATTAGAACAGGAAACTGGACGCACTTTAAATATAATTCTCTTTATTCATTATTTCTATGACGGTTCTAATTAAGCTCTTGAATTTTTGTGAGCTTTGTGAATTCAACAAAAAGGCCGATTGCCGTGCAAGTAAAAAAAAGTCCCGATCAGATCGAATTGGGAAAAATTGACATAAGAAAATGTATCCAAGCAATTATTTTAAAATTCTTATTGATATTTTAATTGAAAGGCGATTGAATTTGATAGAACAGCAGCAACGAATAATACTTGTCGAGAACGCAAAAATGGAACAATTGTTTGACACTTTAATTTGAAATCTGAAAAAGCTTTAATATATAAATAAATACCTTTGACCATCTACGAGCTTTCCTTGCGCCAAAATGAGTCGAGGAAACAACACATCCAAGACCCATGGTAAGAAATATTTGAAACTGATTTTGTTTTGAATTTCCAGTCAACTAAATTTGATTTTTGGCGCACGCTATCTAATTGATAAAATAATTGTTTTTGTTTTGTGGCATTCGCGAAGTTTTTAGAGCAAAAACATTGCAATCATGGTTTCAAAATTTCAAATACTTTTCATAAAAATGTCGATTTGAGATTCTTCGATGAGCCCCATTGGTTATTTTTTACAATAAATGCAAATAAAAACACCGTCTGTATCATACCATTGACTTTTGCTGGGATAAAAAATCTGACTGAAAAAATAGAAATTAGGAATATTCGGAATTCATAGTAAATTAGGCCGATTAGAAAACAGTTTTTGAAGAAGTATGATAAGGAAAACGAAAAAAAAAAATGTAAAAAGAAATTTTTAGATTTTTTGTACTAGAAAATGGGAATCAAAAACTTCAATATTCAAAAATTTTCAAGAATAAAAGTTCAAAAAAAACTTTTTTCTACATTTTTTTTTCGTTTTCCTTTCTTATCAAATTTCTTCAAAAATGGTTTTTTAATCGGCCTAATTTACTATAAATTCCGAATATTGCTAAGGTATATTTTTCGGTCAGATTTTTTATCACAGCATGCGGCAAAAATCAGACTAGTTTGAAAAATTTTCTTTTTGTATTTTTAAGACTATGGTCGGAACTTTCTGTGCTAATTCCTATCCTTGTTTCACTTTAGCTTTTTTTATTGAAATATTCTCTTCTTTTTCCAATCATGGCAGTTTAATATTTTGTTTAATGTTTTGCTTTTACCACAAAAAAATATTTGCTTCTTATCCCAACCTCAGCTGACCTTTTCAAATGGCTGTTTGGCCTTTTTTCATTTATTCAATTGTACAATTTTGACTGAGATTTCATTTCGCTATAATGAAAATTAGAGGTTTACCTTCTTTTTCTTTTTTCCCCTACCTGCTGCGGTTTTTTATAATTTTTTTTCCCATTGTATCCCATTGTTACAAAAACTGGCATACGGACTACTTAGGTCATGACAAATATATATTTAGTCTTCATACCTAACCCTAAAAAACCCCTTGATAAGCAATGAAAATGATGCTTATGTGAGGTAGAGGGGTGTTTGGGGAATAAAAAGAGCTGGTTCACCAATACAGTTATTAAACCGGGACGTCAAAATTTTGTTAGACACAAAAATTTACCCACCCCAGTTTAGCCAACCTTAGCTCCTCCCACGTTTACTGTGGTGTTCAAAACATTTGAGGTGGAAACTGAAAAAAAGGGAATTGTGAGGTAAGTGGTCTGTTGAACGTATTTGAAATTAACTTTTTCGCTTGTTATAATTTGCTTCAAATTTTTGCAAGAAAATCGAATTTAATTCTAGAATAAAATGGATTTTTTTTTCAAATATAATTATTCAAAAATGAATTATTTTGACAAAAATCAATTCCAGTGCAAAAAAACGGGTTATAATCGATTGTTGTTGCTTTTTATGGAAAAAAGTTTTCTGTTCTGAATAGTACATCTGTAATGGTCTCAGAAATCCATTATTATCAATTTAAGTCTCCGGTCAATTTCGATAAGATCTAGAAAACCCATAATTACCAATTACAATCCAACAATTTGAAGCAAACAATTGTGTGGTTTTTCCAGGCTAGTCATTTTACCGCACTCGATAAAGCCGGCATTCAGAAATTCTTTTGCAGTGAGTTAATTAATCTAGGTTTCCCATTCTATTAAAAATACCAGGTTTGAAATGGCATATTCAGATAGTGAGTCTCATATGTAACAAACTTTGGTTCCCAAACACACAATGTACTAAATATAAGATGGAATGAACAAAGCTCGTATCAGGGCAAAACATTGAATGTTCGGACTGCCTTTTAAGGTCTATGGAGCAGTAATAACATGAAAAAATTAATTCTAATTAAAAAAAATGAATTCTTTTTTTTTAAATCGAGAGTTTTTTTTGTGAAAATTTTCCCAGCACGCGCCATATAAAGTACAAAATGATAGATTTCGCTGCTATAAACAAATCAATTGTGGCATATAAGCATCCTTGAACCAATTTGGAACGATTTTTGAGACTGATTAAAATTCCGCTTACGCGTTAATAGCGCAAAAAATATCGCTCGTTAATTGTCTCAAATCGGCCAAAATGGCAATCCTTAAACCCACATAACTTTTAAAAAAATGATCACAGGTGAAATATCTTTTCAATTTTAAACTCAGGACAACAATAGCTTTCGAATGATATAAAAAAACTTCAGTAAAAAATGTCTAGTTAAAAAGCCGAATTTTGTCTGAAGAAAAAAAAACCCACCCCGAGCACAAATATTCCATTACTTTTGTTACGAAAGCCGGAACAATAATCGTGGTAACGAGTTAAGTTATGGAATATCAGTTTTTTGTACCAAAAGTGTAAATTTGATTTTGTTGAAGCTCTTGTAAAAATTCATCGAGATGTTGCCAAAAATTTCGTTATTCGTTATTTTATGGGTAATATTTTGCAATACAAAATATCCGGAGCGTAAAGCTAAATTAATTTTGTACAAAAATTGTAATCATGATAAAACAATGGTGAGATATGTGGTTTCTGCACAGAACATGTTTTCTTCAAGAAACTTTCTCTCAAAAATTTCACTCTTACTTGAGCTATATATTGTTATAGTTGTAACTACTAGCCACAATGCAAAAACTAACTATATCTGTGGTGAAATTTAGCTGAAACTTAGCTGAAACTTCTGAATACTCGGAAAAGTCTTGATAATTATCCTACTTTTTGAAACTCAACATAAAAATCAATCATTAACACTTTCTATGTATGCCTGACTAATACTTTATTGATATAAAAATTTCAAACAAGATCCATTAAAATAACAAAAGATAGCATAATTCTAAAAAAAATTGAGAAATTGTTTTGATTAGGTTTCATCCTCAATTGTGGTCAAAAATATACCCAAATGTATATAGAAAAGACTAAAAATGAAAAATGTGATTTTTCCCCGTAGAAAATAAATGCAATTGCTGAGGAGAGTCCAATCTTTTGCTAAATTGTAATAGAGTCAAGTCTTACCAATTTTTTCAATTTGCAACCACCAAACTAATTTTTTAAATGAGACAATGTTGGAGAAAAAACAGAAACCGGTTTCAAACACTGCATTAAAGACTGAGCAAAGGTTAATATTTATAACCAAAATGGAGTAAATTTCTTAAAACTAAGCTGAAAAGTTATTCAGAATGGGAACAAAACCAAAATCAATCCTCTATATATTTGTTCATAATCTCTCTTCTGCATCCTTCTTGTTTTTGCATAGTTTTTCACAAACTGTTGCGTTCAAAATCATTTCTGCGTTCTGTTATTTCTACTTAATCACAATCGAATTCCTTTTGCATAAGTTCTCAGTCACTTATAAAATAATTAGAGTAGAAATTGTATCAAGGGATTATAAAACAAGCAGATAAATTTAAATTTAGAACCGAAAAAGATTGTACTGGAATTATTTTTGCCAAAATTGAAATGGCGGGCTAGAAATCTCAAATTTTTCAATTTTGGAAAAATTTTTTTGCCAAATTACAGAAATTTTTGTCTAATTATTAACGATCATGCAATGTTGCTTTATAAGCCGATTTTACATTTGATTTTTTAAAGTTTTTTCAATAATTTAGTATAAAGTATTGGAGCTAGTTAAAGCTTACAAATGGTAAGATACATATGCGAATACTATAAATCCATTTTTACTTAACGTTTGTATTTTAGGCACTGTAAAATTAGGCATTGAATTTCAGTTCTGAGATTCTGCTTTATCAAAAAAATTTAAAAAAACCCTTTTAATAAAAAATACCATGACTTATTTTTACAAAATTGATTTTAACATTCGTATCGATTAGGCGGTAGTTTTCAGTTCTAAATAAGTTTTAATTCGATTTATTTTCAGTCCACCAAATTTGCCAGATGATCTAAAATTGAAGCTAACCAAAGTGATGATACAAATTTTGATTAACATCTCTTTAATTTGTTCCCGAATTTGTTTTCCCGAAGGGAAAATTCTCACCAGTTACAGGTTTATTTGTAATTTGAAACAATAAAAATCTATTTAAAACATGAGAATTTTCATGTAGAACTGTTGGAAAATCACAATTTTTCAAAGCACAAGCCCCCCCCCCCAATCTTCAGCATGAATAACGCTCTGTTTCTTGAACCTATTCAGAGAATAACTGAAACGTTTACTTAACGTTTGTATTTTAGTCACTGTAAAATTAGGCATTGAATTTCAGTTCTGAGATTCTGCTTTATCAAAAAAATTTAAAAAAACCTTTTAATAAAAAATACCATGACTTATTTTTACAAAATTGAACTTAACATTCGTATCGATTAGGCGGTAGTTTTCAGTTCTAAATAAGTTTTAATTCGATTTATTTTCAGTCCACTAAATTTGCCAGATGATCTAAAATTGAAGCTAACCAAAGTGATGATACAAATTTTGAAGGGAAAATTCTCACCAGTTACAGGTTTAATTGTAATTTGAAACAATAAAAATCTATTTAAAACATGAGAATTTTCATGTAGAACTGTTGGAAAATCATGATTTTTCAAAGCACAAGCCACCCCCTCCCCCCGTCCCAAATCTTCAGCATGAATAAGGCTCTGTTTCTTGAACCTATTCAGAGAATAACTGAAATCTAATAACAGAAATCTATAATATTTATAAACTGCGTTTATGGTCAACTTGTCGATGTTGATAAGCAAAAAACTGTCGATACTCTTGTACAGGTTCTCAAACAAAGTTGATGTTATTGAAAATATCCGCTATTTTTAAAATCATTACAGCAAGTTGGAGATTTTTGAACAAATTCAAAAGTTTTTCACGACAACTTGAATTTGCTTTCCTTGCTTTTTTCATTAACCTTTTTTTTTAGTCTTTTTTGACCAATTTAACGACACAATTTAGATATTTTACGTTATTGCGTAGCGTTGCTTCAAGATTTCCTAATTTTTGAAACTTTACCATACAGATTTATTTGCAAAACCTAAAAGTTATGCTAAATTGCTCCACCGATTTGATTACTGTAATTCAAACTAAATTTTAAATTTGACGTTCCTATTGTGGTTAACTCTCATTAAAATTTTTATTAGTAAAAGGGTCTGAAGAAAAAACATTTTTTTTAGATAGCTTACGAAATATGAGATTAGAAAAATTTAAATGATACAAAAAATTCATTTCGAATAGCTGTAAGCAACTTTGCATGGTATTTTAGCTGCTTCGATTTTTGAGGCGGTTCGGATTCGATGAACTATGTGTCAAACCTGTGCAAATAAGACACGTGTAGACCAAGTTCTCATCGCCATTTGGACAGTGACGAGCTAAACCAGTAACAGTCAGGTTGTATTCGGTTCCTGGAGCCAAGCCACCAATGAGAATTGGAAGATCCCGATACCAAAACGACTCATCAAAGATTTTTGGAGCAGGAGAAGAAGTTGAGGTGTCAGATAATTTTGATGAGTCGATCACAGTAAGACGTGGCCACGAGGAGTCCGTACCGAGGTTCAAAAGTTGCAAAAAAATTTAACACTGACATTTCGATGAACTGAAAATTTGTCGAAAAATTCAGTTCAAAATTCAGTTTCAAAATTTTATTTCTGTTCAAACGTATAATACTAATTTTTTTACTCGAATCCTAAAGGGTCAGAAAAAGTTTATAGTTTTTATTCCCTTTTCTAATGATATTATAGAGTATTTACAATTGAAAATGTTAATCGGGTAAAGTTCAGCCCTTCATCGATTAAAGCACAAGATTATTCTATGAATTTGAATTATACTAAAGAAAACCAATGAACTCAAAACAAAAGTTTAATTTTTGCGAACCTAATTCTGTCAATCACTTCGGCCATCTAATCTTTTGACTTAATATCTTGCTATTTGACAATATAAATTGTTGAATCTCGGTACATGAGTCTATATGTGGTATCCAATCGACATTGTGGAATATAATTGAACTCCTATTCACAGTTTCTACTTGAGCTCTTACTGTCGGAGCAACTAAAAAAATCATCAGCTTAACTTTCCGAAACGTTCAGACTTTTCTAAAACGTTTCAGCTCAAACATGATTATATATTTTAGTTCAAGAACCAAGATCTTGCAAGATAACCCCTCATTTGCAAGAATCTGCAAGATTTTGCGATATAACCTTCCTTGATCGACTAAGGCTTTCAAACTTTCTCTGCGGTCAGTTCATTTTTGCTACTCAAACTAAGCGGAACAAGTTTTGGCAGTCAATTTTTTCGAAAGTTTTGTCCAAACATTGTTTGCTCAATTTATTCCTCCTTCAACATGTACTATTTTTTTCCAACATAAATTAGTGGGCCAAACTATATTCGGTTGTAATGAAAATTCGCTCAAAACTTCATTACAAATTTTGGAAAAAGACGAACAGTTAGGGTTCAACATTTTGAATATTTTTTGGAGTATATCAACAAAATACCATCCAACATATTTATCTAATTTTAGTACCAATATGTCTTGTTAAAAATTATTTTTCATGTTACATTCAGTTGATTTTGGACATTTATAGAATAATTTTTGAAACGAAAAAATAAATGAGATCAGAACATAATAAAAAAGCAAATTGGATCAGTTTTGAGAATAGTGGGTGAATTTTGTTGTGAACTAATCCAGTTGTTTTTTTTTCTGTTGCAGTTTCTAAAAAATTACATATCTGGTCAATAGTGCGAAATTCCTTTCTATCAGAAATTTGAAAAAAGACAGCTCGTCTGTTTGTATCAAAACGAAGCCTTGAAATTTCGGACTGCTTTTTTGAGGTCTACATTGTACTGTTCGCATGAAAAAAATTGATGAAATTAACTTCAAAAAACACGATTTTTTTCCAATTTTTAAAAATCATCCCCCGCACGCCATATAAAGCACAAAATGATATATTTTGCATATAGCATATAAACAAACAAATGAAATAGCACGACTCAATTCAAATTGGAACGATAATTTCTAGGACGTATCAAGTATCCGCTTCATCGCTGCGTTACTAGTATGTAATATATCGCGCATTATTTGTCCAAATTTGGCCAAACTGCCAATCTTAAAACCCCTGTAACATTACAAAAAAATCACTTTGGAATTGTTTTTAAATTCCATCTCAAGGCAACAATATACTTTCAGTCGAAAAAATTCAGGTGAAAAGTCGATAATTGTTCGAAAAAAAAACCAATCCGAGCACAAATGTTCGGTCATTAATATTAAATTCTTAAATTCTTGAACAACTATTAAATTCATCAAAAGGCAATTAATGATCGCAAAAAGGAGAAAAAAAGACAAATTGCCTGAGTCATTAGAATTGAGTCTACAAAAAACAAGTCACATTTTTGTTGCGGATTTCAAAATTAATGTGTGTAGGGTGGTTTTTTATGCAGTAATTTTTTCTTTTTACGAAATGTTGTTGACAAACTTTATAAAGAATTTTTGAAAGAATTAACGAGCTATATATTTCATTTTTAAAGCACGCGTAGAGTAAGTGCTAACTAAAATCGATTCATAGTGAATTGAAGCCAGCATTTGGGTCCTATTTATAGTATACCAGATCATAATTAGATCCCTTACTGTTTTACATTGCGTGTGGAGGATAGAAGGAAGAAAAAACGAAAAAGAAAATATTTTCTTTTTTTTCCACCATTTTTTGATAAATAAACTGATTTTTGGACCAAAAATTTTTTCTTCAGCTTTAAACGCAACTGCAACATCCCGATTTTGCCCTAAGTTTTGTTTAATTTTCACTTTTTCTAAAAAATTATTTAATTGTAAATCCAGGCTTACTGTTTTCCCATATAGACATAGTTTTCAGCGTTTGGTGAGTGTTTCAACTAAATCGATTTTTGAACCAAAAAATTTTTCTTCAGCTTCAAAGGCACTTGCAATATCCAGATTTTGCCCTAAGTTTTGTTTAATTTTCACCTATTTTCAAAAAATATTATATCGTAAATCAAGGCTTACTGTTTCTCCATATAGACATAATTTTCAGCGGTTTTTGAGTGTTTCACAATTTTCAAAAATTCATTCAACCTAAAAATATGCTAGCACCAGCCACTTGAAATCAATCAAAAGTGTTTTATAGGAAAAGGGAAGGTGGCTGTCTTAAAAAAATGCTGTTTTAATTTTTTTCTGCTCTCTGCTGGAGACTTTCGCATTTATCTATAAATCTAAAAACATAAGCTCATAATCAAAGCATCAAACTTTTAGTTTTTCTCAATATTCGCGCGAGTAAAGATTATATTGTACATTTAAGTTCATTTAAATTTTCTTGCGTGTCCATTTATTACGAAAATTTTCTCAATGTGTGCAGATCAGTAATGGCAAAAAGTCATTAAAGTTCAGGTATTTGATTAGAAAAGTACAATAACATCACTCTGGATCATCGGGCTAGTTATAATCACTTGTCATTATCAAACTGGAAAGTCATCGTTTGCAATGAATAAGAACCAATGGATAAAACCATTTGGATCTTCCATTTTGACAAAGAAAACCAATAAAACTAATTGGACCAGTCGGAGTGTTTTTATTGGATTTTTAAAACAAAACTTCAGCTTTAAAGGCATGTCGTCATTAGTTATCTCCACTTTTCTGTTGATTGAGAAAACTGTTTCAAGAAATGGGCACGGCACGCAAGGCACCTTGACGAAAAGTTTCACTTTGCCATGAAAGAGTATAGAGAAGCAACATCAACTTGGGGTCTTTTCGGTTATACCGTGCCTTAAATGGAAATATTTGGCAATTCAAATTTTGAGTTGAAAATAAAAGGCCAAAGCGAGTGAAACAAGCACTGGCGTACAATTAGCAGCTGCTCGATTAGGATACCTTGTGATAAGTTTGCCAGGGGAAGGTTCTCATACTTGAGGGACCGAATGCATGAAAAATTCCAACAAATCAAAATCGCTAAGCATTTCTATTGGCTTAATGCTTTTCTCACAAAATCGAAATCAATATTTGCAGAAAATAAATTAAATCAGTGGAAAATAATCAAAAATGTTACAAATTGCGGGTTACAACCGCATTAATATTCAAAAAATTATCAAGATTAATGAGTTCAAAATCATAAAAAGTTTTCAAACTTCAAAACTCATCTGCGTATTATCTAATCGGCAATACTAACACTAATGACTAGGATTCTTTCTTTGAGATTTTCGCGATTTATTTTGAGATTTTGAATACTCATTTCTGATTGGCTGAAAGTAAGTTTGAATTAAATTCAAGCATTCGGTCCCTCAAGTATGAGGGAGGCCACCAATTTGCCACATACTTATGCTTCCCTAATCGAGCAATTGCTAATTGAACGCGAGTGGTATATAATTGTTTGTTTCACTCGTTTTTCCGCTTCCAATTTCAAATCGAAATTTGAATTGCCAAATTAATCCATTTATGGGAGGGGGTATAAGCGAAAAGACCTTAACTTGGAAGAATGTCACTGAACTTAAGTATACAAAAGCAGTTTAATTTGAAATATTCAGAAAAGAAATCAAACAATTCATTGTTCCGACTTTTAATACAAAAGTAATGGAATATTTGTGCTTATTGTGTGTTTTTTTTCTTCAGACAAGTTTCGACTCTCTAATTCGCCATTTTTGACGGATTTTTTTAAAATCATTCAAAAACTATTGTTGTTCTGAGCTCAAGTTTGAAAAAATATTTTACCTGTGACCGTTTTTCGTAAAGTTACGGGGGTTTAAAGATTGCCATTTTGGCCAATTTGGGACAATTAACGCGCGATATATTTCGCGCTATTATCGCGTAAGCGGAGATTTAATCCGTCTTAGAAATTGTTCCAAATTGGTTCAAGGAAGCTTATATGCCATAACTGATTTGTCAATAGGAGCAAAATCTATAACTTTGTATTTTATATGGCGTGTGGGTGGATGGTTTTCACAAAAAATCTCGTTTTAAAAAATTTTTTACTTTTTTTAATACAATCAATTTTGTCATGTTACTACTGTTTCATAGTTCTTAAAAGGCAGTCGGAAACTTCAGGGCTTGGCCCTGATACGAGCAGTCTTGTTCCAATTTGAAACTAAAAATTAATCACGTTGTTTTTGCTCCATTTGCGTTTTGTTTTGTAATTTGTCAAAACGTTTCCAAATGACTTTGAATTGAATTTAAATGGGAATCGAAAAACAAATAGCGAAAACCCAATTCCAAAAAATTTCAATGCGCAATAAAATTTAAGCAAAATTAAAATCCTGAAAAAAGTACACGACTCATTAAAAATCTAAATTTTGTTGCTTGACAATTATTAAATGTCAAGTTATGGACTATCTTCTTAATTTGTAATATTATCGAGTTGTGCTCATTTGCCCATAGCCGTATTTTCGTTTTTATAATTGAAAAGCCCAGTTATTTTAAAATCTACTCACGGTTGCAACCAAAAGAAAAAACCATGTCGCCTCTCGAATCTGCTTCCCAACTGTTGTCACATTCCGTGTACCCATCAACGCCAAAAAACAAATTGACTTCTACTCCGTAGTTGACACCGTATATTGGCTCTACTTCAAATTGGTAGCTTGAAATAGTCGAATTCGCCCTTTCGTAGCGAGAGCGGTCAATGATATAATCATAACAGTATGTGTTGTTACAACGGTAATTCAATTCCAAACTCCATTTGTCAAAGTTTTCGGGTCGATTATGCACTCTAACTGTTACATTTCCGCCATCAACCTCGGTTGTTATGTTGGGATCAGGTGGCTCTAAAAAATAAACCGATTAAATTTAAAGTGATGATGGAGATCATTTCTTTTATTTTGACCCTTCTCCATCGCCCATATGATTTAGTTCTTAAACATTCGAGATTGGATACTTTTGTTTCTGCACAAAAACTTTTGTTTGTGCTCTTTTCCCTCCGGCTTTATGGTGTAACGAGAGGTTTCACAAGGTCAACTATTGGGATCAAACATGTTTGTCGTGGTCTAATTAGTCTGCATTCCAATTGTTGTGACGATCAGGCACTGTTAGCAGAATATTTACTAGAAAAAACTCAAATGTGGAGCGGGAAAAGGTAAAGAGTCAATGTCTCAAATCGCAATTTTAGATTTAAGTTTTCATGCAAACTGAAAGATCATGCTGATATTTTGAGCTCAAGTGCTTGACGTGTCATAACTTTTGTTCCGACTTCGAAAAAAAACGAGCAATATATATGCTCGGGTTAGTTTTTTTTATTCAGCCCAATTATACAAAACTCTGGTCTCTCGGGGGGATCAAAAACTTGATTTGCATGGGGCCAGTTTATGTGCTCACTTCTATATTAACCTGCCACGAGTCTGTCTGAACTGCTCCTTTTATAATTTACACATGGCTTATTATACTGAACTACAAAATCCTTCCAAATTGACTTGAGGCTGTAATAATTAATTTCCCATAAACTATTCGAGTCCATTTAAAGGGCAGTCGGAATATTCAAGGTTGTGCCCTGATATGAGCAGTCTCGTTTATAAAATTATACAATTTTAGTGGCTTGAAAATTGCTCATTTGGCCAAATTAGAATGATAAACGCAGGGTTAATTTCCTTCTTTTAGTTCTTAAGGGGTAAATAAACCCGAATCAGAAACCAAGCCAACAAGAATTGTGGCACGCTGTTTTATCCAAATATGTGTGAATGGAGCGGTCTATAATTAGACAACCACTATTTCACACTCGCCATTAACTAGACAAATAAAAGGGGCTATTCTCACGATTCTGGTGCCCAAAGATGGAAAAAAATCAGCCAATCAGAATAAGAAAAAGTTCCTATTCGCTGAATGGTTTTTGCACTGAGCTGAAACCAAAATTAGCAGAAAATGATTTATAGCATGCGCAGTCCGTGTATATTCGAAAAATTTTGCGTATTTTAATTTCAAATTTTTTTTATCGGTATCTAAAAAAAGTAGTTAGTATTTCGAATGCATCTTTGATCTGGCAAAAATTCCTGTATCTGTACTCTGCCTAATTTTTAATCAGACAGAATTAAACGTAGTGGCCTGCATTTATTAGTTAAATTTGAGTTTTTCGCGAACTTTTTGAGATTTTGATTACACAAATCTGATTGGCTAAAAATGACTGAAAAACAATTTTCATTATTCGGTCCCTCTATTATGTGACTCGAGATTGTATTTAAACTAGTTTAACAAATAATCAAAATTTTTATCAAAGTTTGGTTCAATTTTGTCTAATTTTCAGATACATTCGTCCAGAATTCAGAACTTCAATTCAAATTTTGTAGGCAGAGCTTTGATCAGCCACAAATTTATTTTCAGCGGTAAGGAGTCCAGGCGTTTTAGTCCAGACAATATGTTTTTGGTAAAAGCAAAATCTTTTAATAAGTCATATGGAAAATTCCAAAACTTCAAACCAATTTGTAATTTCTTGAATTTTTGAAATGTTGCAATAAGTTCTAAGCAAACTAATTAATAGGCAATTAAAGAACCCTGATACAAACAGTTTTCTTTATTGTTAGGACTGTTTTGAGAAAATGACAGAACAATTGTGTTCGGCCTGGTTTTTTTTTCTAGACAAATTTCGACTTTTAAACTAATTTTTTGACAAAAATTTTATATTATTCGGCAAATATCGTTTTCTTGAGCTCAAATAAAAGAAATTTGTTTCGATTGCGATCACTTTTTGTAAAAAAAATGGGGGTTTAAAAATTACCAGTTTCACCAAATATATTTCTTGTTAGCAACGCGCAAGTGGAGCTTTAATCGGTAATAAAGGGCGTTTCAAGAAAATTGAGGCGAGCTGTTTCTATTTAGCTTTTCTCTGCGAGGTAAGTATATAAATAGTTTGTAATTTAAATAGCGTGTGGGGAATAGCGTATGGGTAAACTCATTTTTGTATCAAAAAGGTAATATTGCAGCTTTAATAATATCATCATTGATTCACATTTTTTGAACGCTTTTTTAACCCAGTCTTTTGTCTATGAAGCAAAAATTTCAAACCAATTTTTTTCGAGCCACATAAAACGCTCTGCACATTTCTTATGGCAGACCAAATAGCTTCTATATGTGCTGAATAACTTTAGCTGCGTTTGAAAATGTTACATGATTTGCAATCAAACAAAAACAAAACATTGAAACAATTTTCTTTCCCACCTTTTCCGTTATAAAGAAAAATAATCATAGCAAACAAAAATTAAGTTCGGATAAAAGTTTATTGTTCCGACTTTCGAAGAAAGTGACGGAATAGTTAAGCTTGTTATCTTTTTTTCTGACAGATTTTGGCTTTTTAACGAACTATTCTTATCATTTTTACCTCTAAAGATCTTTACGTCTAAAAAAAAACTATATATGAAAAGCGACTGTGTTTGGTGATATTATGAGGAATTGGAACTGTAGTGTATTATAATTTATGATAATTAAAGCACGATATTTAACAGCTTTCTGTCAATTCGTATTTTGTGCGGTATAACAAATCCCTAAAATTTGAAGTGAAGTAGCTTTATTGTTGCAATTAACTTATTAATATATTATAATCTCTTAGTTTGTGAAAACTTTGTCATGCCAAAAGTATTTTTTGATTATATCCTATGAGTAATTATTTTTCTATCAATAAGAAAATATCTCAAAGCGAGATGATTTGTCACACTTTGGTTCATCTGAGCACAAGTTTTACCACGAAACAAAAGTTTCATAAAGATCTTTTCATATTAATTGAAAAAATCTAGCGGTGGGTGAAAGTTAAAATTACCAAATATTTCAGTGCTGATATTTTGTTGGTGAAGAAACTTAAAACGTGCTTCATAAAACAACTATAGCAGAGAAGAAATTAAGAAATTAAAGATTATGAAGTCAATTGTAAGCTTTTAAAGCTGTTTGCTCAATTTCCATTTAAGCCACCGTTTACGAAAAGCATAAAGTTGAATTAGAAAACGGGATTAAAATAATCAGTTATAATCAATTGTAATCACTCATAATTGTATCAAAAAAAGATGGATTAATGATTGAATATAAAAGATTGAAATTTATTTTAATTGACTATAATTTGAGTTTAAAAGAGAGATCAAAATCGATCATTAACTGAATAAAATCATTTTTTTTCTCGTTTTTAGTACAACTGGTAAGAAAATCATAATATAATTGATTACTAACGCTTAAAATTTGATGCACGCTTGAAATAAATGCCGATTGCTTCCCACATACCGATCAGGCCTCTCTCAATATGTAAAAGAGTGAATCAAAAACTGATCGCTAGATGGGAAGTAGGGAAATTTCTGTATGCTTGAAGTTAAATTGTCTAGTTAAGTCTTTGTTAGTAAACTTAAAGTTTGTGTAGTTTACATGCAAGAACCTTCCAAAAGTATTACAAAATTCAATTCTACTTTGGAATAAACATATGAAAAAAAATATTGTTCATTAGGTAAACGTTCAATGAGGTTACTGATTTTACTAATTCAGCTTTCAATTGAGCAAATTTTCACAATCCTTTGAGATTACCAAACAATAGTAAAAATAATCATAAAAATATGTGACTCGAGATTATGTTTAAACTAGTTTAACAAACAAGCAATAAATTTTATAAAAATTTGGCTCAATTTTGTCTATTTGTCAGATACATTGGTCCAGAATTCAAAACTTTGTTCAAATTTTTTAGGCAGAGCTTTGATCAGCTACAATTTGTTTTTAAGCAATAAGGAGCCCAGGTTTTTAGTCCAGAAATTTTGTATGTGTTATTTGTTATAAGCAAAACCTTTGAGTAAGTCATATATGAAATTTCAAAACTTCAAACCAAATTGTAGTTTCTTAAATTTTTTAAATGTTCCTAGAAGTTCTAATCAAACTAATATATAGGCAATTAAAGAACACTGATACAAACAGTTTATTTTTTTATTCCGATTGTTTTGAGAAAATGACAGAATAATTGTGTTCCGCCAGTTTTTTTTTTCTAGGCAAATTTCTACTTTTTAACGAACTTTTTGACAAATTTGTTTCATACTATTCGACAAATATTGTTTTCTTGAGCTCAAAATAAAAGAAATTTGTTTCACTTGTGATCATTTTTTGTAAAAGTATGGGGTTTTAGAAATTACAGGTTTGACCCAATTGGAAACTTTAAAACGCCACATAAAACGCTCTGCACATTTCTTATGGCAGACCAAATAGCTTCTATATGTGCTGAATAACTTTAGCTGCGTTTGAAAATGTTACATGATTTGCAATTAAAAAAAAAAACATTGAAACAAACTTCTTTCCCACCTTTTCCGTTATAAAGAAAAATAATAATAGCAGATAAAAATTAAGTTCGGATAAAAGTTTATTGTTCCGACTTTCGAAGAAAGTGACGGAATAATTAAGCTTGTTAAGTTTTTTTCTGACAGATTTTGGCTTTTTAACAAACTATTCTTATCATTTTTACCTCTAAAGATCTTTACGTCTTGAACAAAAAAAACTATAGTTGAAAAGCGACTGTGTTTGGTGATATTATGAGGAATTGGAACTGTACTGTATTATAATTTATGATAATTAAAGCACGCTATTTAACAGATTTCTTGTTATAGCCGATCATAGTTTTAACTGATTATAGTGGATTATAATCTGCATATTTTTTCAGTTATTTGCAAAATTTTCATTATTTTATGCTATACTCGCGGCTTACATGAATTCTCAGCCTAATCATTTTTATATAAAATGCGCTTTAAACGTTCCCTATATCTCTATTCGTTCGCGTGTGTCCCGTCCCCCTTCTCCAATTACTGGTCATCCCAATCCCCTGCTCCGCGTTTACGCTCCCCCTTCAATCCCTTCATTTACTGTTCGCCTCAACGCCCCCCCCCCCCCCCCGTTTTCACACCGCTCATACCCTCAACAACCGCCCCTTCCCGTAAATATGGAAACCAGTGGGGTTTGAGGAGTAGGTTGTACGGTAGTGGGGGGGGGGTGTAGATGGGGGTAGGCAAGCGAGGAGATGTAAGCGGGGTTGGGGGAGTAAAGATGGGGGGCGGGGTTGTGAACGGGTGTATGCAAACAAGAATGTGTAACCGGGGGGGGGGGATGTAAAGTGAAGGGGTGTAAAAAATGGGGCGGGGCGTTATATATTGGGACGATGTTAATTTAAAACAAGACCAAGAAGTTTCAACGAGAGTTGACCTACACTTTGCGCGTATGGAAGTGAACTTTCAAAAAAACCACTCAAAAAATTAAGGGCCGCCCAGTCCAGGACATTGTTCATCAGGAACTGGTCGGCGACTCATGCCCAAAGTAAGTTTAAAAAAGATGATAAAACTACACAATTAAACTCACAAAACAACATCAAACATTTTTTCTCTTTTTCTTCTAAAATTTTTTACAATCAAAACATATGAGCTATTTTTCCGCAAACTATTTTGTGCTGCTGGAAATCATATAGAAGAATAAATTTGTAAACGTTGCAAAAATGTATTAGAGTTTCTATAAACTTTTTGTAGATGGACTCCAAAAACAGAAAAAGAGACTCACTGGTAGTGACCTTAGACGTTTCAGATTTATATTGCGGTATTCGAAAAGAAAAAAAAATTATCTTCTAATTCCAATTCATCTTGAACTTGAGCTCTCCGGAAAATTTTTGTGAATATGAAAAATTGAGAAATGAGAAAAATTGGAAAACTAAAAAAAAGTGAACAACTGGTAATACATTAGCATTTTCATAATTGAAGTCACTACTGTATAATTCGTAATTATCAAAAACATCTTGAAGAACGTGAGATAATCAAAATGTTTTAGTTTGGAAAATTTTAATCTAAAAAAAACCAGATACAAGGAAGACTTGAAAGCTTCATTGTTACTATTCAACATTTTTTCTAAGAGCCTTACAAGTCCTTCTGTTTTTTGCCGCTTTGATATAAAAACATAGCTGAACATAGCCAGCAGACAGCTGAAAAAGAGTCAGTCATTGCAACGAAACATATAAAAAATACTGGCTGATTTTTTTTGGGAAAAGAATCCTCCTTTGAATTTCAAAAACAAAAACATATGCAACTAAAGCTCTTGGAACTGCAAGAAATTATTATGATTAACATTCTTTTTGATAAAACTAACCAACTTTGAGGCAACTGGATAAAAAGCAGGGGCATGGATATAAGAGGAGTCGGAAGGGGTGGACGCCTACCCCCTCCTCAAAGATTCGACAGCCTGCTGACCAACGGTTCCCCCTTCGTAATTTTTTGAGATATCCATGTTTGACTGACTGACTAACCCTAAAACTTTAATGTGAGGGGTAAGTACGCGCCAAAAAAAACACAATTTTGAGAATTTGGCCAAAACATTGCATTTTTTAGTGCTTTGGGAGAGCTCGGAAATCAATTGACTTAACTTAAAAAAAGGTTGACACATTTTTTGAAAATCCCCCCACCTACACTCGAGAAAATTCTAGATACGCCCCTGATCATTGGGTATATTTTTTGCGCCAAAAGGAAGTCTAAAAAAAATCCTCTATCGAAACAAGAAATCAATCACGTTTTTGAGACCATAATTTTTGCTGTTTGAAAGTGGAGTTTGCCTTCCTTGAAACGAAGGAAGATAACTAAAAGAAATGAAGTATCGAACTACAAAAAAAAGTGTCACGATCTAAATAATTATCTTCTTTACGTTCGTTGACTTGTAAAACAAGACTGCTTGTATCAGAGCGAACTCTGAATACTCCGACTGCCTTTTAAAGTCTAAGGAGCAATAATAACATGAAAAATTTAAATGTAATTAAATTGAAATTAAATTTTTTAAAAAACTGAGATTTTTTCTTAAAAACATCCCACACACGCCATATTAAATACAAAGTGAGAAATTTTTCTCCTATTAACAAATCAGTTGTGGCATATAGGCTTCCTTGAACTAATTTGGAACAATTTCTAAGATGGATTAAAACTCCGCTTACACGTTAATAGCGCGAAATATGTCTAGCGTTAATTGTCCAAAATTTGCCAAAATGGCAATGTTTAAACCCCCATAACTTTACGAAAAATGATCACACGTAAAATATCTTTTCAAAATTGAGCTCAAGACAACAATAACTTTTGAATGATACAAAAAATCTGTCAAAAATGGCTTGTTAAAAATCGAAATTTGTCTGAAGAAAAAAACTCACCTCGAGCACAATTATTCCATCATTTTCGTTTCGAAAGTCGGAACAGCAAGCATACTAGAATCAGTACAACTGCCTTTAAATCATTTTTTTAGTAAATTGATAAAAATTGCCAGCCGCCATAGTCAGATATTGATATTTAGTTTGGATTAAGGTCAAGAAAGGATATAGGGGGTGGCAGCGGGGCTTCTTTCTCAAGGATTTAACCCCGCTAACCTCAAAGGGCTCCTTTTTGTTTTTTTTACATCCTTTTTGGCTGCCCATCCTTGCAATTTTCTCGGCATTTTTAACCTGTTTTTTTTTTCCAAAAAAAATTACGGCTCGGAAATTTTGGTCAAAGTAGGGTCGTTATTTTTATTTTCGATGTCTCGGAAAATCAATTCAGCCTACCTTAAAAAAAAGAATTTTAAAAAAATGGTATCCCCCTGAAAAAACCTTAGATCCTCCTCTGTTCAAAATCATGGTTCAAACAAAGTGTTTAACTTTAATCCTTTTTTGGAAACTGTTACTAACCGGTGCAACCCACAAATTGAACCTCCTCGCTTTTCAATGGTTCTGTTGGTGCAGTTCTGCAGTCGGTACTTCCACTGTAATTTCCCCCCAGAATAGCCCTTATGGATATCGTATACCTGACGCCACGATCCAAATTCTGTGTTGTAAGATAATGCGAATCTGAAACTGTTGTATATGATGTGAGAGGCTCAGGAAAAACGGAAGACACTATGATGCCATCAAATATCTCGCCCGACGGAGATGACACCTCTACGTAAATATATGAATAATATGAATATATCGCACTTGTTCCTAATATCGGAGGTGAAGGAGCTGAAACAAAGCTATTTGTGAGTGTACACGAAAAATGATTGACCAAGTGTATCAGCTCTTCTATCACTTCCAGACTAAGTTTGGTAATTTGTTTTGCTTCAGTTACTTTTGTTGTGAACTGTTGGATTTTGAAGTGAAAGGGATCACTCCATTGAAGTTTTTATAGCAAAGTGAGATGGACCGAAATTTATTTCATAGAGTAATTTCAGATTGAGGACACGGTTTGTTGGTCAGGCTGCTATTTATTTTCGGACGTTTGGGTTCGTGCTGATTTTTCAGTAATACTGCTCGTGGATCTCCCGGGTTGACCTCCATAGACCAAAAATGCTAATCATACAATTCCATAACCTAAGTCTATGAAAAAATACTAGACTTACAAATTTCATACATTTTGCTAAAATGTAGTCATCGAATTTTCGAAGAACTTTTTTCTTCTTTTGGCATAAATTTCGCGCATCGTACTATATAAAATAGAAAAATTTTTTGTCAAAAAAAATGCTAATCATACAATTTCCATATATCGAAAGTATTTGACTAACATTTTTTTGATGGCGACAAAATTTTTACAAAGTTATTTTGAAATTGGCCCCACAAATTTTTACTGCTTTTTTTTCTACCGCAAATTGAATTTTGTACTCAAACAAACATTTTTCAAAAGAAATTTTTGCGTGCAAAATTTAAACTATTTTGTGTATATCCTAGTCTTGGATACACTAGTTTTGGTTTTTTTTTCCTTTTCGCTCAATAACTTTTTCAAAAACACTAAAATTCCTTTTTCTTTTGTATGGCATGTTTATGTATGTCCTGATCAATGTCTGATAATTCAAAAATTTAAATTTTAAAAACAATCATCGTTGAAAATTTTTACCAAAAATTGAAAGTTTGATACTTTCACTATGATTATTGTGGAAGACAGAATTGAGACTTTTCAGGCGGATTCCTGTGAGTTTTTATGCGACACGGTCTAACCTTTGGTTACTTTACGCTTGAGTAACCAAGGTTTTTGTCACTTGTGTTTGGTTATGAACCCAACCAAAAATTTTTAGAAATGAAAATGTAAAAAATCAATACTTTTGGTTTATGGAAAAATGCTAGTCATACACTTTCAGTATATGAAAAATCACTAATCATAGAGTTTTCATGCAATTTTTTGTACTTATGGAATGGCATGAAAAGTGTATGAGTAGCGTTTTTCCGTATAAGAAAATTGTATAGTTAAGATTTTTGGTCAACCCGGGCTACTTAACAATCTCCACCCCTTATGGTACCTACTTGAGAATCTTCACCCTTATAAACAAAAACAGTAAATTAACACTCAGCTTTCTAATGAGATTTCTAATTTTATTTCATTCTGATTGGTCGAAAATCGAGCATTTTGATCTACTCAACAACCCCTCCTTTCTTGAAAGAGGTGAAGATTGTTTACTAGACCCCTGCTCGTAATCCTGCTCTTATTTCCTTGTCTGAATTCATTTTATTTAGGGTAGTTATATTTACAAAAAGAAATTTAGCGTTAGTCATGGGATCTGATTGGTTAGTCAAAATAACGAAGATTGCTTGAATCAGTGCGGAGTCTTTAATGTTCCGACTGCCTTTTTTTCTTTTGAGGTCAATGGAGCAGTAATAACATGAAAAAAAATAAGAACATTTTTTTATTGTGATAATCATTCCCCCACGCCATATTAAGTACAAAGTGATTGATTTTGCTCCTAGTAACAAATCAATTATGGTGCCAAATAAGCTTCCTTCAACAAATTTGGAACGATTTCTAAAACGGATCAAATCTCCGCTGACGAGTTAATAGTGCGAAATATATTGCTCGTTATTTGTTCGAAATTGGCCAAAATGGCAATCTTTAAACCTCCGTAACTTTACGAAAAAGGATCACAGATGAAATATCTTTTCAAATTTAAGCTCAAGACACCATTATCTATTGAATGATATAAAAGTTTTCATCAAAAATGGCTAATTGAAAACTCGAAACTTGTCTAAAGAAAAAAACAAACCCGTGCTCAAATATTTCGTTATTTTCGTTATGAAAGTCGGAACAAAAAATTACAATCAGAGTACAAAGTAAAAAGCAACAACAATCATGAAACTTCAAACGGGTTGCACCTATCTCGGTTTGACTGAAAGCTTTGATATTTGACTTGGCCTTAAATAAAAAAATTTGGGTTTGATTAATGCGTTGATTGATTAATTCTTATGGTTCCGACTTTCATAACGAAAGCAACGGAATAATTGTGCTCGGGCTAGTTGTTTTCTTCAGACAAAATTCGACTTTTTAACTAGCCATTTATGACGGAGTTTTTAAAAATCATTCAAAAGGTATTTTTGACCTGAGCCTAACTTTGAAACAATATTTCACCCTTGATAACTTTTTTGTAACGTTTTGGGGTTTCAAAATTGCCAATTTGGTCAATTTGGCATCATTAACGCGCGATACATTTTGCGCTATTAACGTGTAAGCGGAGATTTAATCCGTCTTGTGATTTGTTCCAAATTGGATAAAGTAAGCTTATTTACCAAAAAAGTTTTGCTACTAGAAGCGATATCTATCACTTGGTACTTATATGGCGTGTGGGGGAGGGGGGGGGAGATTTTTTCAAAAATTTCAAATTTATCAAAAATATATTTTATTTTTTTAAACATTTTTTTCATGTTATTACTGCTCCATCGACCTTAAAAGGCAGTCGGAACATTCAGGGCTTCGCCCAGCTACGAGCAGTCTTTTTTGTTTTGTGGTCGTTTATTAATCGGAAAAATAAATTATGTGGTTTTCGCTATATATGCGAGAGCAGTTTTGGTATATAGCGCTATATTGAGGCCCAAGAAAGGAAAGATTAACGTTAGTTGCTAGTCATTCTTTTCATTATGGGTGAAGAGAAATTTTGAAATTGAAGTTTACAAAAACTAGTATGAAATTTGTTGTTTCTAAAACGTGATTGAAGTGATCATTCATCAAGCTAAGGTGCATTCTGAAATATGCAAATTTTACATTGTCATACAAAAAATTTAAGGAATTGGTCACGCAAATTTTGAATTTCTACGTGGAAAATTAGTATTTTCGTGGTTTTGGGACAAAACTTTTTCGTGGATAGTTAATAATTACTAGTACCTCATGAAAAAAATGCTAGCAATCGAAAGATTTTAGTTTCGGTTGAGTGCGGCCATGAAACAAGAAGTGCTATATTTGTGTGTTGAATATGAGTGCAAAGATGTGACCTGTTATACGTGGCTATATTTTTCGTGATGGTGTTGTTCGAACAATTTAATAATGGCGGGCTGAAACCCTTTCCAGCGGATGACAAAACAACATTGCTGGACTGATAGTATTGGCCTCTCAAACATGGACAGAGGAAAGATGTTTGAGAGGCCAATAGTTTCATAGCGTGCCAAAAATTGAAAATTCTTGATGATATTCGTCAAATATAGAAACAAAAAGTGAAATATATTTTTTGTTATAAAAATGATAGCGGTGCTGTGGTTGATTAACCGGATTAATACATGAATGATAATTTTGAATGAACTGATCATTTGTGTGTATGCGTCACTTTAGCAATTAATTGAATCTCGTTCGTTAAGTTGACATCTCCCTCAATGGGCTTCAGAAACTTGCAATTGAATTGAAATCATGTGGGTATGTTGATAAAAACGAATCAAACCTTTTTTGGTTCTCACGCAAAATCCAAGGATTAAATATTAACTGTGTAAAATCCTCATGCAAAATCCAAGGATTCAATTTGAGTGGTATTTATATTTAAAAAAACCATTTGATCTGACAAAAAAATATCTTAGTTGATTGTGAATTTCGTTTTCATTATCATAACCTTGACCATTCTGGTGATATCAGCATGCGTGATGGTCTTCAATAGCGGATTTAGGGGGGGGGGGGCAGACGCCCCCCTCTTGTCAGGGATTCGACCCCCTGCCGACCCAAAGGGTCTCCCCTTTGTACTATTTTGAGATATCCATTTTTGGCTGACGACCCTAAAATTTTTCTAAAAGCCCCTTTGGCGCCACTTTATACTAATTTTCAGGGGAGAGCATGCGCCGAAAAAACGCAATTTTTTGGTCAATATTTTCCAAAAAGTGCTTAAGAACGCTTTCTTGGCCTGTTTTTTGATAAATTTGGCTGCGGTGCAGAAAATTTGGTCGAAATGGGGTCTTTATAGTGATTTGGGAGAGCTCAGAAAATCAATTTGGTCGACCTAAAAAAGGACGACAAAATTTTCAAATTGTTTTTGAAAATCCCCCCCCCCTTGAGAAAATCCTAGATCCGCGCCTGATGGTCTTCGTAAGTGATAAATTCAAAGTTGGGTTTCTTTTGCCAGATATCTGAGCATCAACAAATAAATTTAAGGTGCTTAGATTTGATCTAATAACAGCAAACCTAATGGATTGTTGATAGTTAAACACGAGTTCCATTTGATACATAGATGAAGACGATGCTCGTTGACAAAAATCTCGTTTCGCCTTGATGTTTGATAAAATTATTAATATTGTGGGAAGCGTGAGAGAAATGAGCTGAGCGTGGGCGATTTAAAGCCGCGTGTTATAGAGATGTTTTTGAGGCCATGTTTATGCGTGCTATGCCCGCATTTAAGAAAATTGAAAACAAATCAATTATAATGGATTTTCGTGGTCTACAAAGTTGTAAATATTCCCATGTTACGTTCAGACAATAAATCCATTTTTTTCTCGCCAAAATAAAATGCAATATAATTAATTTTGAATCCATTATAATGGATTTTATAATAGGTAGGAAATCACATTAAAATGGATATATTTTCCACTTTATTTTTGTTACGCGCGTTGAGCAAAA